GTGTGTGTGTGTGTGTGTGTGTGTGTGTGTGTGTGTGTGTGTGTGTGTAAAATATATTATATATATATATAATATATATATATATAATATACAATATATAACATAACCAGATGAGAAGAGGGAACGATTAAAGCTTGGATTTGATGTAACATTACAGATCAAATGCCCCAAACAGCTCTCAACCTGCTGGTTTTTGTTCTTTCTCCACGTGTGAACTGTGTTATGAAAGGAAGTCCACTGCTCAAAATATATTCTTCTACAATACTACAATGCAAACCAACATCACTCAGAACATGAATCTGTACACAGCACATGTAATAAATATTTTTTTAAAACTATTTACAACATTATTTCTCGTGAACATTTAGATGAGAGCAAAGTTTATTTCTTCCTGCAAAGGTTAAAAAAGTTCTGACTGTCTAGTTCAGTGCTAAATTCCCTGGCACCTAGTTATCCTTTCACATTTCATCTTAAAATCAGATTTGCTTACAAATAGCATCTGAAAAAAACATTCTCCAGCATTACTGTTCAAGTGTCTTCCTCATTTGTTTAGAAAAGACAAAGGGAGGCCATAAGTAAATATGCTAATTATGGTTCAAATGGATGACACAAACCCCTGTGTGTCCAGTCCCAAGCTCACCGCAGTCCTGGAGCTGCAGTTCTCAGTCCAGCCAGCCGGGCAGAATGAGAATCGTGACTCAGACAGGGGTGCCCAGGAATGGGGCACAGGGAAGAGGAACCTGATGGGAAAGCATTAGTTCCGTTACATTTACAGGTGCTGAATTGCAGACCAGGACTCCTGAGAAGTAAAGCTGCACACATCTTAGAGCAGATGACCTCACTGTGTACCATCAGTTATAGGTGGGCTGGCCCATATCTGCACAGATGCTGAGAGAGGGAGGAGGCAGCGAGCTGAGGCGCTCAGTACTCAGTCAAGGTGCAGGAGGAAATGTGCTTATCTCCCGTGGTTAACGAGAGTGGGAACAGGTGTCTTTCACGAAGGTGAGAAAGACTAAAATACATCTTAATGCTTTCTTTAGGCAACCAGTGGTTTCTCCATATCCCACAGGTATAGGTTTGGATTTCCTTGGGGTTACAACTAAGGCTCATCTCCCTGCACAGGATGTTGAAATCTACAGCTGAATGTACCAACTGTGTATGCAAAAAGTGGGCTGCTAGAGGCAAGCCCCGATGCCACACCTGGTGCAGCCACAAAAATTGTGGGAGACCCACTTTGTTCTGGGATGGGGTGACAGTGGGGATTGTGCTCAGGTTCCCAATCCAGTTGCATCTGCCCCAATACAGTGAGGGCTTCAAGGCTCACCCTTCTGCCTTCACTATGTTGTTTGGGGGTTCAGTGGCCGAGCATTGTAGCTGGGGAGGATGGGTTCTCTAGAAAGAAAACTTTTTTGGAAAGCCCTTTTGACATTAATTTTTTTTGTTTGTTAAAATAAATACTTTCTATAGAAGCATTTGAACAGGAAAATACCACTATTTACACAGTGAAATAAATTTCACAGTGGTGTGTATAAATACGTATTATATATATGTATTTGAAATCATAGTCACATAGTCTTCTAGAACTATTAAGAATGCAGAAATCACTGGTGAAACTTATAACCTTAAGCTATAGTGGCTCTAAAACTAATCCCTACCTGTGGTATAAATATACAAAATTATGAAAATCTTGTTTGTATAGCATCTCTTACACAAACTAGCTCCCAAATTCTACAGATTTAGCTACAAGACGACATGAAGTGTAGATTACAGAAAACGATTTGAGTGAGAAAGTTGGTAAGGTGACTACATTTGGACCCAATGGCTAACTATGGGAAGAAAAATAGTTATGAAAAGAAATGCTTCTAATACAACATATATATGTTCAGTGAAGCACTTGAAAGGTAGGAGACTTCCCAGAGGCCTCCTGGAAGGGGGCTTGGGGCATAAGCAGAAGAGGGAAGAGGCAAGGTGCCAAAGGTGGGTCCTCAAAATGAGGTGAGTTAGGCCTGACCAGGAGCGGGCTTCACTGGCCAGGCCAGAGAGCTCTGAACTTCGGTCTAAAGCTGCTGGTGGGCTGACAAGGTGCCATTGACATGCTGGTATTTTTAAGAGAGCTGAGGATGGGTAATCTGGATTAGAGGTTCAGACAGGTAAAAAGACCAGCCATTTATATTCACAAGTAATGACCGAAGCTTGGGGAGTGATAAACTTGCAAATATACTGTACATGAATATACTGTATAGCTTCTGGGGGTGAAACTAACATGCTCTCTGCCTGCCGGGAGAGGCACTATTCTAGGCTTTAAGTTCATGAGGAAATCCGTTTGTGTTGAGCACTGCTGTAGGGGAATATCTCTCCATGAGAGTCAAGTTCACCCTGACTCATAAACATGAAGACAACTGTAGTACTTTTAGTTTAAAAGACTTTGTACTTTTAGCTTTAACTAGTTATCCTAGTAGATCAGATTGAATGTCCACGATTCAACAAATACTCAATCCACAAAGGGAGATACATTTTTTTCTCTAATACACAAGCATTAGTCAGGAATAATGTGGAACAGCAGCTGTGTGCTAAGATCGAACAGGCAGAAACCGTGAAATCTAAAAGGAAAGAGATGTTGCAATGCTGCACTACATAAAAAAATAAGTTTGTGCTTAACTGGCCACACAATCTGATCTTGAATGACATATTGCAAGGGCCAGTAAACCTTTTCTTTAAAGGGTCAGGTAGTAAATAGCTTATATTTTAGGCTGTGTGGGCCACATGGGGTCTCTTTACTCTTTTTTTTTTTTAACATAACCCTTAAAAAAACAAGGTACAATGCACTCCTCCAATCCTGGTATATTATAAAACCATGGGCAAGTGGTTCTTTTTTTAATAAGCAATCTACTTCCATGTGGCCTGCCTACTGGGCACCTCATGTTAAATGGAATGGTCCTAGGCAGGCGAGAGAGCCTCTGTGTCACTTTGCTCACTGGCGAGCATAACCGCACACCTGCCCCTCTGAGCACTAACATAAACCACCAGGGCTCTGGGAAAATGATCAGACAAAGGGAAGGTAATGCAAGGAACTGGCCAGCTGTGGCTCAATTCCAAGGGCAGAAGCATGAGCAAGGATGCCTGCAAGGTGACTCAGGTGGTTCCCTGGGTCCCCAGTATAGCATGGCAAGCAGCATCAGAGAGCTCTGGGTTTCTGCCTGAGCATGAAAGTATCTTTAAGTGAAGGAGGTCGGACTTTCATGCCTTCCAATCCGTCCACTGTAGAATACAGCAGTTTGTTCTGACATTTCAAGGCATGAACTATATCGAAGGCTGTCTCAAAAGGCTTCCCATAATTCTGCTCGTATTAAATACAATCATCTTTTTATTTTCTCTTTCTCCCTGAAAAGGACTTGGGAGCAAGCCTGGGGTAGAGTATTTACTGCTGGGATGTGAGGATTGCCTTGCTGATGCCTTACATAGACATGATTTCATACTCAGAAAAATTTCCAGTATTTCAGTGGATACCGAGCCATAAGAAGATAAAAATTCATAGTTAAGAATTCAAAATGATAATTATGTTTCAAAACAAAAGGAACAGTCACTGTTTTAGAGCCACTGAGAAACAGATCCTTGAGTTTTGGGGGAGGGGGAAGACAAAACCTTGGCAGTTGACAGGATTTAATCTAACCATCCATAACTTCTCAGTCACACTCAGGTTCTAATAGGCTCCAATTTTCTATTAGTCTTTCTAAAGCACTTCAAGCCTCTATCTTTCAGTTGCTGGCGTGCCTTTAATAGAATTATTTTGAAAGAAGAGTAGGTGACTGAAAAAATTATCAGTGCCAATATATTTTTTATTTTCCTAGAAGCTGGCCAAAAATATTACATAATAAACAATGCCTTGGGTTTATGATTGGACTTTGTTTCCTCTCTGTGAAAAGGCTTTTCCATATCTAAATGTAAGGTTCAGAAAACTGAACGTCCACCTAAAGTTGTCTCAACTAATTTTGAAAGAAACAAAATTTGGCTTACTTTAGTAATAAACAAGAGTGAAGCCAGAGTCAGGTCTATGGTAAAAACTGAATGAAAGGAGAGGCCCAGGCCACATCATGTTAGAACTCTGCATTCCTAGCTGCTCATGGATTCTGACTCCAGAGGTTAAGGTGGCCTCGATGTGGCCACTGTGATGGGTGATGCTAACAGGATGTGAGGCTAAGGCAGCTCAGGTTTCAGGAGATGGTATCTGATGTGCTGTGGCAATATAATGTGTCTTTTTTGTAGCAAGAAAAAATAAAGACATGTAAAAAGAACAAAATTGAGGTAAGATAAGGAGGAAGGAGAAGAAAAGAAGAAGACAGGCGAAGAGGCAGAAGAAAGGAGAAGATAAACCAGGGAAGCTTTTTTATCCTGAAAAAAAGGTTTTCTCAGGCATGGGTCAGCAAACTTTTTCTTAAAGGTCCAGGTAGTAAATATTTTAGGCTTTTGTGGGTCATGTGGTCTCTGTTGCAGATGCCCAACTCTGCTGGAAAGCAGCCAGAGACAATACATAAACAAATGGGAGTGGCTGTGTTCCAAAAACCTCTTATTTACCAAAGAATGACCAGCCCACAGTTCGCAGACCTGTGAAAGATCATCTGTCGGCCAAATGAGACCCTGCATGGGCTGACCTAAAACCAAAAGGAGTGGGTGTGGCAACTTGGGCCAGTACCTTGGGAAACTCCAGCCACGTCCCAGGGGCAGTGACAAGACCCAGACTCACTGAGGGTGACACTACGGCATCTCCAGCTTGCCTCACATAGCATGTTGCCCTTTCCTACTTGGCTCTTAGGTCCATTGATCAACAGGCAAACTGCCCACAAATGATGGTGACAGCTTCAGTCATCACTACAGAATTCATCACAAGGGAGAAAAGAGTCCAAACTTCAATTCAAAATGACCGTCTTGAAGTGATGTTTTACTGATAACCTATCTGAACAGTGAGAAATTCACCTGCACAG